ACCACACGATCATCTCACTAGATGCTGAAAAAGCCTTTGACAAAATCAAACACACCTTCATGATAAAGGTCCTGGAGAGATCAGGGATAACAGGAACACACCTGAACATAATAAAAGCAATATACAATAAACTAACAGCCAACATCAAACTAAATTGAGAAAAACTCAATGTGATTCTTCTAAAATCAGGAAAAAGACAAGGCTCTCTACTATCTCCATATCTCTTCAATATTGTACTTGAAGTTCTAGTTAGAGCAATAAGACAACAAAAGGAGATCAAGTGGATACAATTTAGAAAGAAGTCAAACTTTGACTTGTAAGAGCAAGGTAAACTGAAGCGAATGGTGTTAACTACATCCTCAGAAAAAGCCACCTTGGGTAATTCCCTGCATGGAAAAAGGCTGATTCAGCTCCAGCCAAGGAACCATAAACAGTTCCGAGGAGCACCCAAACTTTGCCTGTTGTGCCAACTCAGAGAGGACCCCAAGGCTTCAGGGAGCTTAATGACATGAAATGCAACTACAAGGAGGTCTGCTTATTTCTGGAAAACCAGCTAGCTATGGCTCAACTCCATCAGGAGAGGTGAAGCCCCAAGCTGCAAAAGCAAGGCACTTTTAAGGAAAAAATGAGGGAGGGGAGTCCCGAGTCCTAGTCCTCAGGGTTCCCATGGTTACAGAGATTACTTAGCATACCAAAGGTTATCAAAAGAGAAGGTGTTGAGAAGGGGGAAAAAGCCCTGAGGCTGCAAGTCTTAGCAGGGTACCTATAATTACAGATTTTTGGTTTTTAGCATAGTAAGTGTTTATACATAGTTATAGCATACCAGCTTTTCATACAACTTATCATAAGGACCTTGAGAAGGCAATAACTGCCTTTGGTTAGGTAGAATTAATTGGCACATCTGTGCTCTGGGATTCCATGGCCAGAGCACATCCTAAGATTGTGGCCTAAGGGAGTAGCTGCTAATGCTGTGGCAGCTGCTAGTGGGTCTGGGCTCCTGGATCACATAACCTCACATAACCCTCCTCACTTAGTTGGGGAATTTTTCCCCTCAATATATGTTTTTATTTAAATTATAAGCATGAATGCTTCACATGTCAATCCCAGCTCCCTCTCCCACCCCTCCTTCCTTGTCCCTCTACCAACACCCCTCCAGCCCCCCACTCAATCCCCATATCATTCCCCAGTGAGGGTGAGGCCCTCCTTCAGGGAATCTCCTGAGTCTATCATTTCATTCAGGGCAGGACCTGGGCCCTTCCCCATGTGTCCAGGCTGAAAGAGCATCCCTCTATTTGGAAATGGGCTCCCAAAGTTCATTCATACGCCATGGTAAACACTGATCTACTACACGAGGAACAAGATATCTCTGAGACCTCCTCACTGCTACATTCATGGAGTCTGGATCAGTTCCCTGTTGGCCTCTCAGCCATCAGTCTGTGGTTCAAGAGCTCCCCCTTTCCAGTCAGCTGTCTTTGTGGGTTTTACCAGCATGGTCTTGACCCATTTGCTCATCACTCCTCCATCCCTGTCCCTGGGTTCCAGCAGTTCAGTTCAGTGTTCATCTGTGAGTCTCTGCCTCTATAAATCACTGGATGAAGGTTCTAAGATGGCAAATAAGGTAGTCATCAACCTTATAATCAAGGAGGTACCATTAATGTAATCTCTCCACTATTGCTTAGTTTGCCAGTTGGTGTTATCCTTGTAGATCTCTGGAAATCTCACTAGTGTCATCTCTCTCCTCAAATCTCTGAGAGAAGGAACCAGGAAAAAGAGATGGGTGTAAGAGGAGGGCAGAAGATGGCATGGGGGAGCAGGAAGGTTGAGTTGAGGAAAGAATAGAGGAGAGCAGGATGAGAGATACCATAATAGATTAGTTGTGGACTGTTATTCTCCTTTGTTATTTTTCCATCCATTTTCCTTAGTGGTCCAGAACATATCAGTGCCCACCCTGAATATAGGGATCCCACCTGCGTGGTCAGGCAATGAGTAATTTTGGTAAATAATGTCTCTGGTCCATGACTGCCCTTTTGGGCAACTATGAGTACCAATTTGGATATTCCCATAACCCTCACATCAGTGAATACAAAGGCCACCTACTCTTACCCAATCCTGAAGAGCAAAGGCACATACCACCCTGCTTGCAGTTATTTTCTTTAAAAGCCAGGCTAGGCACTCTTTTCCTGCAGCTGCTGTGCCAGTTTGCTGGACAGGGTCTCTGCAGAGGCTTGTAACTTAACATAAACCTAATGCATTCGCATCAATGAGTAGGCTCCTTGGTGGTCTTCTTTGGGGGTCTCCCTAACTTGACATAACACACTATTTGCAGATAATATAATAGTTTACATGAGTGACCCAAAAATCTCTACCAAGGAATTCCTACAGCTGATAAACACTTCAGCCATGTGGCAGGAAACAAGATTAGCTCAAAAAAATCAGTACCCCTACCATATACATATGATAAACCAGCTGATAAAGAAATTAGAGAAACATCACATTTACAATAGCCACAAACAACATAAAATATATTGGGGTAACACTATTCAAACAAGTGAAAGACCTGTACAGCAAGAACTTTGAGTCTTTAAAGAAAGAAATTAAAGAAAATGCCAGAAAATGGAAAGATCTCCTATGCTCTTGCACAGGTACAATCAATATAGTAAAAATGGTAATCTTGCCAAAAGCAATACAATCCCCCAAAAATACCAGCACAATTCTTCACAGACCTTGAAAGAACAATACTCAACTTTATATGGAAAAACAAAAGATTCAGGATAGCCAAAACAACCTTGTACAATACAGGAACTTCAGGAGGAATCACCATCCCTGACTTCAAGTTCTGTTCTAGTATTATAGTCCTGAAAACAGCTTGGTATTAGCACAACAATAGATAGGTAGATCAATGGAATTGAATTGAAAACCCTGATTTTAACCCACACACCTACAAACACCTGACAAAGAAGCTAAAAATTACACAGCAGAAAACAGAAAGCATCTTTGACAACTTTTGCTTGCACAACTAGATACTGGCATGTAGAAGACTGCAGATATATCCATATCTATCATTATGCAAAACACTTAAATCAAAATGAATCAAAGACCTCAACGTGAATCCAGTCACACTGAAACTCTTAGAAGAGAAAGTGGGAAGTACCCTTGAACAATTGGTACAGGAGATTGCTTCCTGAACATACTATCAGTAGCACAGAAACTGAGATTGGCAATTAATAAATGGGACCTCCTGAATGTAAGATGCTTCTGTAAGGCAAAGGACACAGTAAACAAGACAAAACAGTAGCTCCCAGAATGAGAAAAGACATTCACATACTCCACATCTGACAGAGGGCTGGTTTCCAAAATATACAAAGAACTCAAGCAGCTAGACACCACAACACCAAATAATCCAATTAAAAATTGGAGAACAGAACTTAATATAGAATTCTCAATAGAGGAATCTAAAATGGCTAAAAGATATTAAGAAAGTGCTCAACATCCTTAGCCATCAGGGAAATTATGATCAAAACAACACTGAGACATCATTTTACTCCTATCAGAATGACTAAAATCAAAAACACTAATGGCTGGAGAGAATGTGGAGAAAGAGGAACATTCCTCCACTGCTGGTGGGAGTACCAACTCCTACAGTCACTTTGGAAAACCATATGGCAGTTCCTCAGGAAAATGGGAATCAGTCTATGACAAGATTCAGCAATTCAACTCTTAGGCATATACCCAAAAGATGCACATTCACACAACAAGGACATCTGTCCAACTATGTTCACAGCAGCATTATTTGTAATAGCTAGAACCTGGAAGCAACCTATATGCTCCTCAACTGCAAAATGGATAACAAAAATGTGGGACATTTGCACAATGGAATACTACTCAGCAGAAAAAAACACTGGAATCTTGAATTTCGAAGGAAAATGGATGGAGTCAAAGAAACCATCCTGAGTGAGGTAACTCAATCACAAAAACACAACCATGGTTTGTATTCACTCATATATGGATTTTAGACATAGAGCAAAGGATTACCTGCCTACACTCTACACTACCAGAGAAGCTAGGAAACAATGAGGGCCCTAAGAGAGACATACATGGTACCCCTGAGAAGGGGAAGGGGACATGATCTTCTGAGTAAATTGGGAGCCTGGGGGGATGGGACAGGGAGTTAGCATATAGCACATGTGAAAAATAGGAGGGGAGAGAAGGACATGAGGGACCAGGAAGATTGAGTCAAGAGAACATGGAGGAGAGCAAGGAAAGAGATACCATAATAGTGGGAGCCACTATAGTTTAAGGAGAAATCTGGCACTAGGGAAATGTTCAGATATCTACAAGGATGATCCCAACTAACAATCTAAGACATAGTGGAGAGGCTACCTTAAATGCCCTTCCCCAATAATGAAATTTTGATGACTACCATATATGCCATCCTAGAGTCTTCATCCAGTAGCTGATGGAAGTAGAAGCAGACACCTACAGCTAAACAGAGTTGAACTACTGGAATCTAGTTGCAGAGAGGGAGGAGTGATGAGCAAAGGGGTCAATACCAGGATGGAGAAACCCACAGAAATAGCTGACCTGAACAAGAGTGAGCTCATAGGGCCCAGCCTGATAGCTGGGGAACCAGCATCAGACCAACTCAGATTCCCTTAATGTGGGTGTCAGTTAGGAGGCCTGGGCAATCTATGTGGCCTCTGGTAGTGAATCAGTATGTATCCCAATTATACGAATGGGCTTTGGGAGCCCATTCCACATGGAGGGATACTCTCTCTGCCTAGACATATGGGGGAGGGCCTAGGCCCAGTTGCAAATGATGTGACAGACTTTGAAGATCCCCCATGGAAGGCCTAACTCTCCTCTAGGAGCTGAAAGGGGATAGGATAGGGGGCTGGTGGGGATTAGTGGAGGAGTGGAGGAGAGAGAACTGGGATTGACACGTAAAACAAGATTGTTTCTAATTACATTTAAAAAAGGAAAAAATAAAGATTTCATAACAGAGAAACTGGCCAACTGCTGGCCCCACTGCATTTCTTCCAAGAAGACTAGATACTGAAGAAACTCTACCCACATAAGTGGAAATGCTAGCCACTGAGCAATCCTGCCTTTCACCTTAACTGCTGCAAAGGACTCTTCAGACCATGGACGGGATGGCAGTGGAATCAACTTTCTCCATGTTGCTTGGGCCAATGGTAGGTAAATCTTCCTCCAATTCCTAATCCACAGGTCTCATGTTATCAGCAGAAAGCAGGCGTCCTTAAAGCCTCTGACCTCAACAACTATGGAGGACCTGAAGGTGACTGTTCAGTAAGTCAGTTAGTAAGTCTCTGTTACTCTATAATCATTAATACAGGTAGAATTTTATCTTTCTCAAAAACTCTGATACAGTTTGATGGCTAGTAGGTTTCAGTGTAGCTTCTTACCATTCCTTTGTTTAAAAAATGTTTTTTAAATTTATTTATTATTTTTGGTTTTTCGGGACAGGGTTTCTCTGTATTGTTTTGGAGGCTTTCCTGGAACTCGCCCTATAGACCAGGATGGCCTGGAACTCACAGAGATCCTCCTGCCTCTGCCTCCCGCATGCTGGGATTAAAGGCGTGTGCCACCAACGCCCGGCTTAAAAAATGTTTTAGGATATAGAAAACTAACTTAAGGTGTACAAATGCAAGTTATCAGATTTATTTCTTGTTATGCTACTTTTCATAGTCTTAACATTAATCAATAAAGTTCTGATAAACTATTAATCCAAGTCTGACAGGTCACTAAACAACATACCACTATGATAACTACAAGGTTAAGATTAAGGTGCTTTTCATTGTCTTAAAGATATTAGTCAGTTTTAAAAGTGTCAATGCTTTCAGCCAAATTGTTTCTGACATGAGTATACTGCTAATGAGTCTAAAACTTATGTTTTCACAAACTCAAAGGATTTTTGTAAGTTCCAGGGAGACAAATTGGATCCACCCAAACAGCAGATTCACTCCAAATTTCATTCTATCTTTTCCTGGACCTGGGACTCACTTCCCTCATCTTGGGACCCTCTCAGGAAGCCCTACCTAATCTTACAATCTTTTCCTCATATGCCTTTAAAAAAAAACCCTGACTGCAGCTACTAGGGGTCAAACTCCTCTGCCCCTGCGAGGGTCATGAGCTCAGCCCCAGTGCACTGGTTCCCCGAATAAACCTCATGTGCTTGCAGCAGGAATGGTCTCTCTTGAATTATTTGGGCATCAGCATATCCTGAGACTTGAGTGAGGGTCTCCTCACTCTGGGTGTCTTTCAGTTGGGAGCTCATCTGGGATTTGTGACCACCCAAATTCTTGGGGACCCCTCATTGGAGGTAAGGTTCTGGCTTTGTCTGTGTCTTTGTCTGCTGGCTGTCTGAATCTGGTACTTGCGGTTTGCAGTCATCAGTGCTTGTGAGAGCAACAATCTCCCTATCTGGGATGGAGAGGAGAGTTATCGACAGATGTGTCAGGAGATAACCGACTGTTGCCCTGGGAGACATCCCAGGAGGTCTGATGGAAGTCCAAGGATGCCTGGAGGTTTCCTGTCTGGGTGTTGAGGAGAGACTTTGCAATCCCTTTGATCATGTTTCCTGGTGTTGAAAGTCCCGCAAGAGGTGGGCTCTGGTTTGGGCTTTCTCTGTCTTTTTGAGTGATCTGTTTGTCTTCTTTTGTGTGACTTGGACGATGGGACAGACTGTCAGTACTCCTCTTGGTGAAACTCTTGACCACTGGATGGAAATTACAACTAGGGCATGCAACCTGTCTGGAGAAGTTAAGAAGGTACCTTGGAGAACTTTTCATTCTTCAGAATGGCCAACGTACAACATTGGCTGGCCTCTGGAGGGTACACTTGACCTTACTGTGATTTTTGCAATTAAGAATATGGTTTTTCAAAAGGGACCAGGACCTCACCCTGAGCAAGGACCTTATATTTGTGTCTGGGAAGATCTGGCGCAAGGTCCTCTGTCCTGGTTAAAACCTTGGACCCAGAATAGTAAGCCAGGCTCCCGAGTCCTGGAGCTCCACAATGCTGAGAAAAAAACAAAAGGAGAAATGGCGGAGTCTAAACCGCCAAATAAGACTCAACCCTTGTCTCCTCCTAAGATATATCCCGAAATTGAGGAGCCTCCAGAATGGCCTAGTATTCCACCCCTTTTTCCCCTCCCGATAACCCCTCAGAGTCCTCCACAGGGTGCCATTGGAGGAGCAGCAGAAGGACCGGCCACCGGAATCAGGAGCAGATGTGCCCAGAGTACTGAGGGTCCAGATTCAACTACAGCATTACCTCTGCGTGTATATGCCCCCCACCAGCTAACCCTGACCAGCTGCAATTACTCCAGTATTAGCCCTTCTCTTCGGCCAACCTCTACAATTGGAAATATAACCATGCCCCCCCTTTTTTTTTCAGAAAATCTCTCAACCTTACAGGTCTGATGGAGTCCCTCATATTCTCTCACCAGCCTACTTGGGATGATTGTCAACAGCTTTTGCAGGTTATTTTCACCCCCAAGGAAAGATAGAGAATACTTTTGGAGGTGCAGAAGAATGTGCCTGGAATCAATGGCCAACCAACTCAACTTTAGAATGAAATAGATGCAGGCTTTCCCTGAAATCGTCCTAACTGGGCCTACAACACAGCTGAAGGTAGGGAGCAGCTGACAGTCTAGCACAGGGCTCTGCTGGCAGGTCTCAAGGGAGCCGGCAGGCATTCCACTAATTTGGCCAAGGTAAGGGGAGTTCTACAAGGGGAGAAGGAACCCCATCTGTGTTTTTAGAATGACTCTTAGAGGCTTACAGGCATTATACTCCCTTTGATTCTACTCCCTAGAGTCAGTAAGCAGCAGTTGCTGTGGCTTTTATTGGACAGTCTGCCTCTGATATTAGGAGAAGTTTACAGAGCCTGGAAAGTCTGCAAACATTATCTTTGCAAGACCTAGTTAAGGAAGCATAGAAAGTGTACCATAAGAGAGAGACTGAGGAAGAAAGAAGAGAAAGAGAAACTAAGGAAGATGAGAAGAGACAGGATAGGCAAGAAAGAAACTTAACTAGGATTTTGGCTGCAGGAGTAGGCAACAGGGACGCTCATAGGAAGGAAGAAGAAACTAGGCAGAAAGGGTACCTGGGCAATGAAGGGCCAAGGAGACCTCAGAACCCTGAAGGACCCCCTCGGCAGCCTTTAGTTAAGGGTCAATGTGCTTATTGTAAGGAAAAGGGGCATTGGGCAAGGGACCTCCCCAAGAAGCAACACAAGACACCCAAGGTCCTCACCTTAGAAGAAGATGATTAGGAGAGATGTGCCTTGATGTTGAGGTTGAGATTTGCCAGGGATTTCTGTTTTGCTCAAGAAGTAGATATCATAGAAGGCAGAGAGAAGTGTGGTCAACATTTTTCTGGGTCCTGTAATGGTGTGAAAAGATCCTTCAGTGCAGTGGTGCCTGACTCTATCCAAGATGGGCTAACAAGGAGGGATAGAATGTTTGCTTGAATGGCAGAGAAGGAGGGGGAGGCCACAGTTACATAGGAGGCAGAGGAGAAGCCAGCTAAGCATGCTCCTTGTGGCCAAGACACCCTCCTAGCCAGGACTCAGGTAACTATATCAGATAAAAATGCTAGTTTCTTTTATTTCAACTATAACCACTCTAGAAAGCATTGTTAAGCAATGGGTGGACAGGAGTTGTTCCACTATCAAAGATTTTACAGTATTTCCAAGAGAACTCAGGCAGGATGGGAGTGAGATTACAGGCCTCCAAGATGCATATAGTCATATCTTAAATGGATAACTATACACGCAAGCCAGAGCAGGCATGAGGGGCACCTGCCCTACACACTACTTTATCACAGGATCACCCTGGAACATTGAAGGCTTACAACTTGACAAAAGTCTGGCAGATGTGGTTGGACTTCTACCTGGTATCCATACCCACTGGTAGTCTTGGAGTGTGAGAACAGAGTCAGCCCAGGAACAGCCCCTGCTGTATATGGGAGACATGCTTTCTATACTACCTGTCCTTGCTGGCCCTAGGGCCTGGGCTTTGCTTGGTGACATGAGTGGAGCCAATCCCTTATGTAGGTTACTACTGGATTGGGTTATGACTGTCACCAAAGGCAACATGTTGTACTGGGTCACCAAGTTTGATCCCTTCTCTCAAGTCAAAGTGACCATGTTGAATCCTGAAGACAGTGCCAGGTCCCTGTAGAATTTGGAGGAAACTTAACAGGAGATACTTATTGCTTTTGTTTTCATTGTTGGGACCAATCCTTGGTCCCAAAAAACTGGGCAAGGGCTCTGCCTTAGCAGAGGATCATTTTCTAATCCATACTCTTAAATTCTCCCAAACCTGGAATTTCCTGAGCCACTCATATGATGCCATGGATGGAACATTCCTCATGTGGCATCATGGAATGGATTGCCCTCAACAGAGACACAGTGCAAATGTTTCAGGGCATCTCCCTGGGGCTCTGAGAGTAGTAGACCTGACTGATGAATGCAGGGTCCATGTGGAAGCTTTAATTTTTTTGGCTTACAGTAGTGTGTGTTCTTAAACATAACTTTTTTTTTCTTGAGATACAGTCTAGCTTGGAACTTACACTTTTCCATCATCCTGCCTCATTTCCCAAGACCTAGGTTCACAGACATGAATTATAGTGACCAGCTCCTTTTTTGCAAATGTTAAAAAAAATCAAGAAATGTCCAAATTCTAACATGAAAATGGTCCCAGGAATTTCTCACAGGGGATTCTTGACCTTTGTGAATGTAAGGACCAGTGTTACTTGAGTGGCTACTTTATTCCCAGCCTGAGGCCCAGAGCCACATATCAGCCTATGTGAGATGGAGAGTCCCCATGGTGTGATGTCACTCAAGGGGGGTGGTTACTACACAACAGAGTTGACTCAGGCTCCACTGAAAGGTTGGGGAATCTGATTCAGAGCCTGCTACTATTTCTCTGATGATCCTACCACCCTTAGGGTCTTTTGTAGTTCCAACCACTTGCTCTTAATAGAGCTTCCTTCTTAGGCCATAAATAAATTGCCCTTCAAAGCAGATTGAGAGCCCCAGTCACTTTGAGTCAAGAAGGTTAGGGGCCTAGGGCCAGTCTGTGCTCCACAGAGAGACCTTGTTTTTGGTTTTGGTTGTTTAGAAAAGCAGTTGAATGCTTTCCTGGCCTCTATGGAGGCCAGAAATTGGAATTAGACCCTCCATCACTTCCTACAATATCCCTATCTGGCACAAGTTACAGTCTAAACTCCTTCCCACATTTGTGGGGTATCAGGATCTGAACATCTCTACTTTGACTCCTCTCATGTCCACACTGAATGTCCTGTTAACAAACTAGCTACAGTTGGCTTGTGCCCTCACTTGACCCTTTAACTCTTGCTTCTTGTATGTCTGTCTCCCTCCTGGACAGCCTCCAATACAGAGAAACCATGTCTCAAAAAACCAAAAAATAAAAAATAAAACTATAAAACTAATTAATTAATTAATTATTGGATGACAGAGACCAGAGGGCAGTGGCCATTTATTTGCCTTTAAAGATGTGGGTATTCTGCAATTCTCGAAGTTCTATAAGAGTTCAGTGCTATTGATTTCAATATTGATTCAAAATATTTACTATGTATATACCATTTTTAAATTAATTAAAATTTTTTTGCTATGTGCACAAGTGTATAACCTTGGCTGTCTCTGAAATTCAAGTTTTGTTTGCTCTCAGGGAACATTCACCTAATATAATCAATTTTGTATGGAAAAACAAAAGACCCAGGATAGCCAAAACAACCCTGTTCAATAAGGCAACATCAGGAGGCATCACCATCCCTGACTTCAAACTCTATCATAGAGTTATAGTCCTGAAAACAGCTTGGTATTGGCACAAAAATAGACAGGTAGACCAATGGAATCAAATTGAAAATCCTGATATTAACCCACACATGTATGAACATCA